GTTCTACAGGTTTAATGCTTTTTTGTATTTGTCATTGTAGCGGATAGATGGACATGACACCAGGAACGTCAATGTATCCTTCCTGAGGTCAAAAATTGGAATTGTTTCTCAGGAGCCTGTATTGTTTGACTGTAGCATTGCTGAAAATATTAAATACGGCATCAACATGCATGAAGTCAGCATGAATGAAGTCATTTCTGCTGCAAAAAAAGCTCAGCTGCATGATTTTGTCATGTCCCTGCCTGAGGTAAGAAATGTTTGGAAACTATCCAATAAAGGTCAAATTAATATATCAGTTCATTACTATGAAGATCTTTATCCATCGCTTCCTTCAAAACAGACATTACTACAGTAGGTAACCACAGTATGTCATATTAGTTTGACAAAACATATGCAATGCAATGAGAAAAAAGCCCTGTACACACTTACTGGAAAGTGTGCTTCATGTTAATTTTTAATGGAATTAAAGGCTACTTTTGTATTCTACAGAAGTACAACACCAATGTTGGTTCCCAGGGGTCACAGCTATCTCGTGGACAGAAGCAGCGTATTGCCATTGCTAGAGCCATCATTCGAGATCCAAAGATTTTACTGCTGGATGAAGCAACATCTGCATTAGACACAGAGAGTGAAAAGGTAATAATCACTCTCTAGAATATTACCACTGCTAGGAGTGGTACGGTATACCATTATGACAGCATATCACTGTTTAAGATTATAATATAATGGAACTCAAAAACGGAGACTCAATGATTATTGAAAGGACACCATCCCTTACCAGGATGAATTGCAAGAATCTTTGTGAAACCGTGCAACTGCATGGATATGTTAACTTTTATTTCATCCTATACAACCTGCATTGGAGCATATTGGAGCCTAGAAGGTCCTGTTTTGGATCTAAAAATTAAGATGATGTAAGGGGGAAGCTATAGATGTCGAAAAGCATTCAGTACCAATTCAGACCTGGGCGTTACTAATAATCAGAGTAACCTTTATTTTATGTTTGGCAGACTGTCCAGGCTGCGTTGGACGAAGCCAGACAAGGAAGGACTTGCATTGTCATTGCTCATCGCCTATCGACAATTCAGAATTCCAATATTATAGCTGTGATGTCTCGAGGATATGTGATAGAGAAAGGTACCCATGATGAACTCATGGCAGTAAAAGGCGCTTATTACAAGCTAGTCACAACAGGTGCACCTATTAGCTAATCGTTTTGTTACGATTGTCGTGGTCGCACGATAACACAATTATGCACCCACAAAATGTGATATTATGCAGGTCCGTCACATCTTTGTGTATACATAATTGCTGAGGCTGTGATGAGCATTATGGAGGATTTAATTTCATTGTGATGGTTGACAGATTCAAAAGCCCCCAAATATATTCATACACTTACTGAGCTATAAACGTTGATTTAGCACAGAACATGTAGGTGTGTACATTTTTTCAGTATCTCTGAATTGAAATCTTTTAAAAATGGATACAAAGGCGTACAGAACACTGAACAGTAAATACAATTACTAAAAAAAACAATTCGTTTTTCTAAATGCACTATGTCAAAATGTGTTAATTCCCTGTAAATGTGTTGGAAATAATAACTGTCCATGTAATCTTCTAATGTTATTTAGTTATCTGGTCGTTTCACAAAAGGCTCAGGAAAGTTAACATAAGTTGAACAATAAAACCTTATACTCAGTGCCTCATCTCTAGGAAAATTAGGGAACTGTCCAAAAATCTAAGGTAAAAGATTAATCTCCTTCAATCACTGTACATACTATTACTGTATATACAGTATAAATCCATAAGACATCCAAGTTTTGACTGTGGATACCAACATGTGAAAGGCTAGGTGACACATGAGGGCAACAACCCGTTGTGAATATGCAAACTATGGCAAGTGTCTCTATTGGGATAGTGTCTCTAATTACTACTGTTCAATCATGGCATGAATCTGGTTAATGTCTGTAACATAGCAATATAAAAGAAAAGACACATACATGCCAAATTTGACGTGTATTTTTATATATGACATTATACATTATACATACTGTATATTTGACATTATAAAGCAGAACTGCATTATGTGGCTCGATGGAATATATGCTGTACTGAATTAAATTGTTTCTATTCTATATCTTCTGGTGTTGGGGACCTTATTAAAACTGAGGGCACTTGTCAGAGGCAATGAAATTCTTATTGTTGTGTGAACAATTCTGAAAACTATGCAATTGAATTGCAACCAATAGCAAATAAGTATTTGCATTTTTCCTAAAAATGTATTTAAGCATATTACATTGTACCAAGGCTGTGAATAGTTTGGAGTCAAATGTACAGTATATCACTGTTTTAAAATTATATACTGACTACACTCTTTATTTCTTTCTTAAACAGGAGAAACATTTATATTTAAAATGTAATATTTTCAAGTTTATATCTTTAAATTTAACTGACATTTGAAATGGAATGTTTTGTTTTTTAATTTAATGGACAAACCCTGAAATCTTTTATTTTTGGTTGTTTAATTTAATGGTGGACATAATATATATTGTTAGTTATGGATGTGTGACCTTATTTAGCTAAAGAGTACATACCATACATACATTCAGTAACGACCTGAAAGAAATACACTGTCTAATGACACTGATCTACAGTACATAAACGTATTGATCAACTGCTGACTAGAGAACAATCATTGAAGGAGCTTTGGTTTTTTAGGGGGGATTCTGAATTAAGACTTTTCTGTCATAATTTCACAGTATTATATAGGACTCCATCTAGTTAAAATTACTGAGTATAGAAGCTTCAAGTCATTGGCTCCTCAGCCAAGCATACACACCAGATGTTTAAATCCTCTCAAACTGAGCAGGATTACTATTGCAGCAACGGAAGGGTAAAACTAACCTGACTAAATGCCAAGGCATAACTGAGCTGATTACATAAATGCCATTCATGAGTTAACTGAACATATGGCAACAGCAGTTTTGTCACTGTCTAGGAAATATAAATTGAATCATTAATGATGTCTGGCTGTACATATTAACATTATCCATTGAGCCTGTTGTGCAGGATCGAAATGTACTGTACCATGTAATTTTTATTATATAAGACAGCACAAATGTTACTGAACAAATTCTCTTAAAAGAATTGCTGAATCAGATGTATGGAAAAAAAACAACTTATAAGGTTCCAAACCTTTTCCCTATTAACTATTTAAACTAGGATCTCTGACCTTAAATGTGAAACTAGCACCATAATAAATTCTCTATACTGTGCTCAGATCTACAGTATGTTAGATTTTTTAAAAGATAAAGGAAAAAAGTGTTCACACATTTAATCCATTATATTTGTTTAACATGGTTATGCCATCCTGCAGCATATTTTGCTAGTCTCCTGCCATAAAGGTTTACATTATTAGATCAATATTAGACTTTATATTGTTAGATAATAGTATTTATTATTATCTGATAATATAATTTTTTTTATTGTACTTGTTTACTCGAACGTAGGGATTGTAAGCCTGGAACACCTGTCTGTATTCTGGTTTTTGTTTCACCTGAGCTAATTAGGGTAATTGATTTGTAGGTGTTTGTTAAACCAGTTGCTCTAAAAATGTTATTTGGGATTGGTCGTTACTATGAGCCTTGATCCAATTTCTGTGTTTCACTCCCACTCTCATACAGTTGTGTGGAGCGGAATAGGTGGACATCTGTAGAACACAAAGTCACTTTGTCAAAGTGTTTGATACAGTATCATTCCCACTGGTTTCTAATGTGTTGATTTATTTAGACATTAGTAAGACAGCACAGATCTAATAAGCAAGTTGAAAAGATCACATTTCAAGATTTGTCGGTTAAACTGCTTCACAAGAAAGACCTGCAGCAGAACATTTGTGATTTTAATTAAAGTGATCAATTAGTGAGATCAACAAGATCATGCTAGTTAAGACCTAGAGGATTACATGGTGACATTACGGATGTAGCTTTAGAACCAAAAACAAGAAAAGAAAACTGACAAGTGACAAAAACATATGGGTATGAAAGTCTTCTGTTTTCTTCTTAGTCATGATTGTTTTCTGGTAAATCCAAAGTCTATGTTTTAAACATTCATAATGTTGTTTGAAGCTGAGTAACATTTGTTTTTCCTCCCTCTTTTTTGGTAGCAAAGGGCTGGGAAGCATTTAAAGATATTTAATGGATAGTGAGGAAAAACATTTTTTCATAAAGGAAAAAAAAATGACGTTGCTTATCCTCAGTTTAAGAGCTGTGATAGTCAAAAGTGATTAACATCACTTAGTTCATATAATATTTCCCCACTGGGCAAAAGATTGGAGTTATCTACATTGACTGATGCTCAGTTATTCAAAAGTAGAAATTGAGGTTTCAACTCAGTTTTGAGGTTCTTTCACTGTCATTTCTCATTAAATCTTGTTAACATCAAAGCTAACTTACCAGACGTCAGACTAAGAATGTCTTGCAGTTGTTTAATACAGCAATAACCATCTCCTTAAGCTGACAATCATTAAAAGATCTTCTCTGTCTAAACTGGTCAAACAAAAACTGTATGATTTACTGATTGATGTACACTTAATCTGAAAGAAAATGAGTACATTTCACTCTACCATTGAGGAATTTAAGAGAATAGCTCCGAAGTTAAATAATGACCTTATTAGGATTAAATTATTATCTTGATATCAGTCAAAGAACCATGCAAGTGTTTCAGGGTAGTGACATTGAAATACAACTCAAGGGAGAATGTTATCAAGTGCCAAATTAGTAAAATGATGAAACTAATGCTAATACTGAGTTGAAGCAAAAGATTTTAAATCGACCACTCAAAATATTTCTCCTCAGAAAACATGATATAGTGGTCAAGATCAGAATGGAATTGAGTTTATTATTCCATAATAGTTAAGAACAACATGAACAACTCATCTAACACTAAACCAACAGACCATAAAATAATTACACAACACAGGCACACTTGCATTTAGCTTTTATTGAACTGCTTCAAAAGACAAGTCCTGCTTCTAAAGTGCTTTGCTTAATAGCAATACCCTGACCCATAAACAGATTAACATTTCAAAGAATATACAGTATATCAGTTATGCTAGATTTTCATTAGTATCTAAGCCTTGTGACAGGTATAGTTCCAACAACATAAATTCACTCAAAAAATCTTTGCTTGACAGTTGTATTATAGAGAACCCCAAAGTAGAATGCACTGTAAATTCCCAGCGCTGCTATATTGCAGTTTCATGTACATTAGAAATGTTTCAGACGAATGGTGGTATAGACAATATTGTTTCTACAGTACCTTTACAGTGGTTACATTTTAAAAGCTCCCCAGAAGTGCAAGGTACAGTATGTTTTCCACACTTTGCCTTTTTTGTTCTATAATTTACAGCGTCAAGAGTTAGGGAAACAGTTATCAAGTTACTGTGCAGTAGTATCAGGACGAGTACTTAAGAGAAGCCATCTCCCCAGTTACAATAAGCCATTTATGAGTATTAATCTTTGTAAGTTGAAAAGACCTCTTTCAATCATGAGCACCAGTAAAGAATAAATATGTGCAAATCATACCGACCAAAATCTGAATTCGTTGCCTTCACTATAAGGAAGAACATTTCAATTACAACTAAAATGGCCAAAAAACATTTTAAGTACATGTATTTTTTATTTACAGCTTAGTCTTTCAGGCAGTTATACATTTGTCATACCGTATATTTTGTTGCTTCAATTGTTATAAAAAGGATTTCAGAATACTTATAACTTTAAAATCACAACACATGTATATATAAAACTCTTCCCCTATCACTTGCACAGGGTAAATAAAAAACTTACTTCAATAACAATTCAAATTCAAATGGAAAACAGAGATACAGCAATTTAGAAATGATCCTGCCACTGATTTGAGATGAAGCCAAAATCCTGACTGGCTCTTCCATTTTGAAAGCAAAGATGTATCCCATTAAAATGCAACTACAGAATTTGGAACATTTTATAAATAAGATAAATAATTAGGACTCTCAGAAAACTGTTACCATGACATGCAGTTTTGTGAGAGGATGTCATTCACACGTTCCTTTAGATAAGATATGTTTTACTCTGTCATATAGTCCTGCATTTTTAGAATTAATGAATGCTCATTTTATATCCAAAGCCATGGGTAGTGGGTTAATCTGTAAAAAAAAAACCTAATGTGGTATTTTGATGTAGTCTCCTTTTACAGTACGAACAGGCTTTTGTAGGAGTGTCTGAATTTATTTAATCCAATTTCTTCTCGCTGTCTCCCATTAATAAGTGAATGCAGTAAGGAATGAGAGCAACAACAGTAAGTGGAATGACTGCACTCTTACAAAAAGACAGAGCGTAAAACAGAACCTCTGTGTGTGTGGGTATCTTTATGAAATCGTACAGCTGCAGAGTTGTCAGGGCGGTTGTGATGCACATCAGCTTAAAGCTAATCTTGTAGCCATTTTTGCCCTTGCAACTCTGAAGGAACATCTGTGAATTTATGGCCAAGCCAAGCCCAAACAGAGCCCCCAAATTTCGCACTAGCCCCGCAAAAGGGGTTGTGTCCAAGTGGATCCAGTCTGGGTTGATGCACCACTTTTTTGCTTTTGGAACTGACCACAAGAGATCGATGTCAATCATTTTCAGGACCAGGTAGAAGCCTACCGCAAAGGAAAACAGGAAGAAATTGGTTGTAATGTAGACTTTCAAACTGGCTGTTTGGATTGAGGGGATGTGTTCAAACACCTCAGCGACCAGCATTCCTGTTGAGAAAGAACTACAGGTTAATGATATCAGCAGATTTCACTTTCTTGGTATGTTTTCTAATACTTGATTCTAACTTGATTAATTTGTCCTCATATTTTTCCATTAAATGATTGAGACACAATGCACCAAATGTACTAATATGGATCTTAATGCATAAAACACTAAATAATAACGGATTCATGTTCAAATAATTTATTCTTCTTGATTAACAACTGGTGACTGATAAATGAAAATGCCTGTACCAGCAAAAGATCTCCAGTATTCCAAAAATTATGTGGCAACAAAAAAGTAATTAAAAGTTCATTAATGACTTGTAATGACTTTGTTGACATATGAAATAAATTTACAGTATATTGACCCTGGCTGTTTTTATTCAAAAGTCGGGATGGAGGCATTCTTTAGGCAAACAGTTGATTGTATCTGTGAGTATGTTACTCTTACCTGCTAACACCCCAAGAATGACTTGATGAGGAAAGTGTGTGGCTATAAAAACCCTAGAGATACAGACACTGATCTGAACAACCCAGAAAGCTGTCCAGAGAAAAGACCAGGCAATCCAAAATCTGGGAAAATAAAAAATGGAGAACATTAAAAAAATGAAATTAAATTAAATTGTATACAGATACATAACTTGCTGCAAGTGGCCTTATATATATTTGGATTTTTACGATGTTTAGACAACATACAGTGGATGGTTCTACTGTATATATATTTAAAAAAAACATTTTTAGAATTTATAAATACTGTATGTTGGTGCACAGAGATTAAACTTTCTAGTTCATGGAAAGCCACCGCATGAAGTGCAGAGGTCAGAATTTGTTCTCTGTATTTCATTACTCAGGCTGGTTACCCCTGGTTATTGGAATATTTCTGGAATTGTGTTTGTTTTCTACAAAGGCACCTTGGTGAGCCAGAAATGAAGTGTGTGTCCTGGTGTCCTATCAATCAAGCAGTGCGGGGTTAGGACAAGACAAGCAGGTACTTGCAGTTCAGAAAGACTTGACAAAAATCAAATCAATTTCAAGATTATTTTCTTCTGTGGCTCTAGCCACAGTAAACCCTGTACATGTAAATCCAATGGACTGGTGATGTTCTGCTTCTTCAAATGAAGTCATTTCTTCTCAGAAAACAATAAAATATTGTATTCCCGGCCCTGTTGATTTGACACTATAACATCTTGGAATCTGTTATCTACCATTAGCGTGTCTGTGAGTTGGCTTTTTTAATGGTGTGCAGTCGCATTTTAGCAAAGTGTTCATGCAGTCTATTAGACTCTACGAATATAAATAAAATGGTTGCTTTAGATCAAAGTATTCTAATAAATTTAGGAGAATTATTAGTATTATTATGTATTTATCCCAAAAGGGTGTGAGTTAATCTTCACATCCAGGCCACTGGGCAAATTATCAGCTATATACAGTAGGCCCTTTCTAAACTTAAATGAAATTTTGGAATTAAAAATGCACATAGTCAAAAGTAGCAACAAATACATTCGTTAAAACAAAAGGATTACAGTACATAAATGACACACATTTATCAGGTATATGATGTATATAAGAACTTTTATGGGACAAATATTTATTCAGGTTTTCTGTATTGCTACAGTAGTTTTACTTTCTAATTTTTTGGAAGAATAAATCTAGTACATTGATGAGAGAGATGTTTTACAAAAGGTACAGAATTTGGTCGAATACATATTAACATAACACAAATATTAACCCTTTATTTAGAAATAAAAGCTACATTTATTTAAAATCATTGTCTTTTGATTTAAGTTATGATTTGTTTTCCATACCAAACATATGCGCACTCTGGTAACTTACTGTTTTTGATACAGATATTGGTGCTATTTTTATGAATTAAAAAAACTATATGAAAGATACTATTGCACTTCCAGGAGGTATACAGCATATTTTCAACTTTAAAAAAAGTAGAAATTATTTAAATGAATGAGTATGCATTTATCCATCGCTTCAGTATTTCTAGGTTATTCAACACTAATCTAAAAGATTTCATTTGCTAACTTTTGATTTTATTCATTTATAAAGCTGATGCTTTTAGCCAAAACAGTTTACATTTGTACCCATTTACAGAGTTGGGAATTTCATTGAAGCAGTTTTTTGTTAAGTTCTTTGCTCAAGGGAATAACAACAGTGTACACAGGAACTGAACCTACAACCTTCATGTCACAAGTCCAAAGTCTAGCATACTAACCACATCCACTTCTCCACACTGCTAGCACATAACATGAACTGGAAGTGCTCCTTAAATGCTCTTACCTTTGCATTTTGTGAGGGGACTTATCACTTTGAGGTCTTGTGAAGCTCAGTGCAGAAGTGACCATCACATACCACACACACGCAGACCCCATTGCGTGACCAGACGGGCTGCCTGAAACAGAAGTACTCTCAGCCACACATTTTACTTTCCGGATCTGTGTAACTTCATGTGCAATTGCGTAGTCACTCTCATAAAATAATGAACTAAACCAAAACTCTGATTATTCCATATTCCGTTTCCAGTTTTGTTTAGAAGTTCCACAAAAAAATGGGTCTGTGTTACAGTATTAAAACAAGTCATCTCAAAAAACGAATAGTTTAAGATCAATATTCAAGAGAACATGTGGAAGTACCGCTCAGTTATGTTTTTTTAATGCTTTATGAACTTTTACTGTCATGTCTTATGTGTTAAACCTGTTAGCTAATAACACACGTTGATGTGTGTGTTGCAAAAAATGAGTTCTCAAGTGTCACTAAAATATGGTATTTAGAGAGGAGGACATGAGTAAATATGAAATCATAATTTAAGAAGCTTCTATCTTAATTTCATACTTAATAGCGAGCTTTTATATCTGTATTTAATGCACAAAGAATAGCAAAATGAACACTCACCCGGTCCTGTTTCACAGGTTATATGGAACTGTTCAAGTTTTGGCAGGGAATTGTTCTCATAAAAGTGAGTTTCTTGAACCCACCAGTAAGGGCGATGACCAAATAAAATCCTGAAAACAAGAAATAATAAACAATGAATTTATCAACAATTACTGTATTTCACATTAAACTAATAACTAACTAAATAACTAAGGTAATTTCTTTATCCTAAATAAACATAGCAAAGACAAATCTAATTCCTAAGATACTTTATTAAACTGTTGTGCCTTAAGCATTTTTGAGAAAGTTCAGCGCAAAAGGAAAAATAGAATGTCTACCGGATATGTATGAAAACAAGTTTGTTTAATAAGTTTAAATAATTTTACATACATTCCAATCTTAGGGTAACTGAAACTCTGCCCTTTTCTTGCCAAACAAATGGTAGAGCAAATCTTGGATCTTTTCTTTCCTTTCACAGTTATTATTACTTTATTATTACTTTTTTCATAACACTGACACATCGTTTCAGCACCATAACATTGCTCACCATTTGAATATGAGATTGAACCAGTCTCCAATCACAGCCACCCAGATCATTTTGGTGCCCACAATCTGGCTGAACTGGAACCACAGAGGAAAATAAACTGAAAAAATGTTGCGCGGGTCACCCACTGAAGACATGAAATTGAGGAAACTGTGGTAATCCCTGTAGTTATTCTGTAGGTGCTGAATAACCAACACTCCGTTACTGTGAATGAAATCCATCGTCAGATCTGTTTGTCCTTCACAGCTGAAACAGTGTTCCTTTCAAATGTGCTTGTAGGTGTAGCACCATGTAAAGAGTATTTATCTGTGGCTTTATTACGTACCTCCTTTTATACCGCGTGAAAGTAAGACGTCCATTTTGTGGTGTCAGGGGGCCTGACTACACTTCACAGGGTGTGTGCATGGATGTAGTGTTTCCTCAGGTTCAAGAAGTTCAAGTATTTTTTTCTAGGGCTACACATAAGGGCATCTGCTGACATGCAATAATTCATGGGGAAAAATTTGGAACCTCATCACTTGTCCTCAGCAGATGAGATTACAGATGAGTAATGTTTGCACAAGCCATTTCTTTTAATTGCGGAACATTAGCCATTTTATATATTGCTGACAATTTTTGGTTTGTTACTGAGGTAAAACAGCCACTGGTGTTGTTTATTGTTCTTTACTTTTTGCAGGTTTTTTGAAATGACAAAGAAATAAAAAATAATAACACAAATATATGTCTGATCATTTCTGTGTCGTCTTTTGATCTTAGAATTATGTCACGTTACTGAATTAGATAAGGAGAATGCATAAATGTTTATTGAAACAAATGATCTGCTTTTGGTATGTAATTATTTCTACTTTTTATTTATTGTTTCTAATTATTTATTTTCTTTTATTTTCTCTTTCAATCCCTTAACCGTAAGTCAACAGAATTAATCTGAGCAGTTATTAAAGTGAATTCTTTACACATTTGAAACTGCTATCTTTTGGAGATCTTTGTAGGAATATGCTGATGGTATAATAATTATGCCCAATTCTCAGCCTTGGAAAGACCACAAACATTCCTATAGTACTTGAAAAAATGTGGCTCAGATGTAGTCTCTAAGTCTAATTTTCACTTCACTGGGAATATCCATTGTTTAGAAAATAGATTAACAAGACTTGGTTCAGTATTTTCATTATTTTATAGACACATGAATGTGTAAAAATCATATTTCACATGCATAAATCTTATCTAATCCTACCATGTTTCGTTAATTAAATAAAGGAGTTTCTCTAAAAAAGGCGAACATTTTGAAAGGTTAAAGATAAGGAATGTGTCCACTCAAAGAAGTACTGTTCATTGGAGATTTTTGTATTAAATAATGAAGTGTTATTCAACTGTACTGTTTTCATACAATCTGAATTTTGTGATTTGGATATTTAGATGCACAAATGAATGTATTGGCTTTATACAGCTACCTGGCAGGATTGACAGTTTTGGTGTGGTGGCACACATACTCTCATACAGTGGTAGTCAATACAGAGTACAATACTGGGCGATGTGGCGGCTAAGGATCTGTGCCTGTGGCTGGAAAGTTACTGTTTCAAAATCCTGTGGCTGGCAGAGGAATCCTACTCTGTTGGGCCCCTGAGCAAGGCCCTTAACCCCAACTGCTCCAGGGGGCCGTATAAATGACTGACCCTGTGCTCGGACCCCAAGCTTTTCTCCCTGTCTGTGTGTCTCAGGGAGAGCAAGTTGGGGTATGCGAAAAGACAAATTCCTAATACAAGAAATTGTTTATGGCCAATAAAGTGATCATCTAATACAGAAGCAAGTGTTTACATCTTTGCATCCAGGACATTGAGGTATAATAGGTGTGTAACTTACAATTATATTATAGCATATGTAGGACATCTGATTTTAATGATATACCTGGAAGAACAGTCATTAATATGACTAAATTAGCAGTGATGTATTAAATGAGCTGAAGGCAGCTTTTCATCTCAGGCATTTATTGATGGGATTGCTCTGACCATTGAGTGTTATTTCTGTAGTGGTGCCTGTGCAGCTTCTGCTAATGTATTGTTTGCAGAGCTCATCCTGAATGGACATCCTGTGATCATTCAACATGGTGATTAAACACTGAAGCTGCTTTTAACAAATGACAAGGACTTTATGTAACTCCAGGTTAAGCTTGGCAGACAACTGGGAATCTGGTGATGTTCATATGACTCTTTTTTAGGATTGTGTCTAGCAATTTTGAAATGCTCAGTCTGCCATCGGGTAACTCGTGTTCACTCTCTTCATTCGGAGTACATTTGTCATCAGAGACTGGATTAAAAGGCTGTCATTTTCACAACAACGTGTCACACTAACTGCAATTGGTAATTGGCAAGCAGCAAAACAAACTTTGAAAAGAAAACCAGTTAATTTGATATGAATAAAATGTAAAAGCAAATTGTGAAATTACTTAAATTCTAGTTTTTTTCTTCTTTTTGTAGGAATAGTACGTGTAGCTTCTATTATGTTATATTAGTGTTCTATGTAGTATTTACTGTTACAAGATGGGAACCCAAAATTGACCAAATTAGATCCAACCCAAACTAAAGTGCCCCTTACACCAAAATTTCATTTTTTGCATCATCATAAGCCTCAAGGGGATATCTGGTATAGCTTGTCCAACTCTACATGTATTTGTACAGCCACCCACCAGTTATCAAAAACCTCTTTATTATTCCTGATAAGGGTCCTGGCAACATGGATCCTATTCTAGAAGTAAGAAGTATTGAATTTTGAGAAGCAATGGAAGTTGACAAGACAGCTGTCTGCCTTAGGGTTCTTTCACACACACACAAAGTCAATTTAGAAACGTTGATTAACTTAGACGGCACGTAAAAAACGTACTTTCAGTGAGACTGTGCACCTTGGTGCACTGAAAAACAGTACACAAACGATATTGTGTGAGCATACTTTAGATTCAACGACTGCACGCAGCAAAGATTTAAGTCTCTGATTCCTTAAAAGGGCGCTATCGTCACAGGTATCCACCAGAGGGCGAGTGGCGCATACCTAACACAGATTCCCAGGACAAAATATGAAGGATTAAGTTCCTATATACAGTACGTGCTGTAGCAAAAGGTTCCTGAAAAACTTGTTCATGGATTTACAATGTTGACGGATGAACAGGCGAGCTAAAAAGTCTGCATGCCAGCCCCCTACTGCCAAAAATATTCTTAAATGTTCAGTTTGGATTAAAACAAATCAGAATCCTATCGCACGTCCGTATTCAGACATTGCTGTTTGAATCATTCGGGTTCCAACACACTGAACGCGAACGACTTCATTGTTGTGTTTAGTCGTCCAGCCACCAGAGGTCGCGGCACTACCAGCGGAGGTGTATCTCCTGCTCACTCAGGGGTGTGCGCATGTGTATTTTACTCGCACATGTCGTGAAATGAACTTGCCTGGAGGTGAAATATCCTTTTTTTCCCCATTCAGGCCGAAGGAAGTTTGGTGGGGGGTAAGAGAATGCAGCACATGATTTGTGGAATGTGTTGACTGTATATTAATGTTCTGTATTATACGTCTTCTTTTGTAAGTAGTTACTTTGCATGTGTTGAATAGACAAGCCGACGTAGGCAAACCTGCAGTCAATATGGAGTTTGCGCTGTCCTTTTGGGCGCTTTCTGAAAAAGAAAACCGCAGTAACTGTTATAAGCTACTTCAACTGCGAAGTAGAACTGCATTTTAGACTGTATCCTAAAATAACAAGGCTGTGAGTCCACGTTGGTCTATAAAGCTGTAAACCACGTTGCCCCAACGATACTGTAACGTGTTTTAATTTAAAGTCAAGCCAATATATGTTTAACGTGTAATTAAAAGTCTATATTCGGTCTCTTCAAGTTTTACTATTGCTGTTCTGTCCCATATCGACGGATCTCTAGAGAAAACGCATTAAAAGCATTAAAAAAACTTTTATTATGACAACGAGGAAGGTTACAAAATGAAGAGGCATTTCGGGCTATGCAGCGCGTCTTTTAAAGTAGTCAAGAGGTTTGACTTCGACATCATGGATTTGATCTGTAAACTACAGCTAACTGGTTGAGTTTTGATATGAATTCCAGTTGTTGGTTAAGGTTTACGGTTTGTGAGTACACTACAATATTGTAAAGCCACACACACACACACACACACACACGAGGGATGCTTGGACGGTGTCTTAGATGGGATGCTTTTTGTTTCCATGGTTGTTACCTGCGGCCGAGGGAGTCGGTTGAGTCTGTTCACGAGTTTACTTGTGAAAAGACACATTTCTTAGGCGAAAACAACATAAACTATCATTGTGTGTAACTAGGGAAAGTGTTTTATGAACCCTCCTGACTCAAGCCAGTCTACTAAGTGTTAGTAGAACTTGGTAAGTCAAAGTGGGGAGATAAATGGACGATACCTACGGCTGGGGAGAGCTCATGGTAGCCTCTCTGGTATACTCTAACTCCAACACTAACCTTTGTGAAATTCTGATCTAGAATGTAAAGAGTGAAGCCTGCCTGCCTGCTTCTCAATTGAACTGCTAGTTCTAAGAGATGGCAATATACCTTTTATGCACTATTGCACCATGAGTGCAATATAAAGCACTTTAATCCTAAAACAGCTGTGATTAGAAAATCACAAAGTTGTTTTTATGTACTGTGGGCTTCATGAGAAATAAGCTTTGAGTTGAACTGTCATGTTTACGATCAGTGTTCAACTTAATTATAACTTTTTTTTAATAAAATGTGAATGTTTTGGAAAATAGTGTGATTGAAAGTATATATATTAAAATCTTTTTGTTTCCCTGTAGTTATTTACAGGCTTCTACTAGGTACATCTGGATGACTCACATTAAGTGATTACCAGGATGGATTTGAGACGTTTCTGGAGCTCAGGAAACTTGGGGTTACTAATGCCAAGCTCTAATGCCAAGAGCTCTTGTACGACTGGAGGATCAGACATTCTTAATCAAGTAGGTAGCTCTGGTTGTGGTGGTGAAGTGAATTAGTCCTTCTTTTAAGAGTAGAAATCTTTAAATTCTCTGATGGTAACCCATATGGGACAGGTGGATTTTTACAAATTGTCTTTGTCTTTAGGAAACGTTCATGAAGATGACTTGTGTATTTGATAGTCAAGAACATCCAGACTGAGATTTACTTAAGCAGAAATTGGAATGTCATTCTTTATTGTAAGGTAACAGCTAAAAGCAGATTTTTTTTAAATCTTTTTGCCATTGAAAGAAATGTCTTGATCACTTTGCCAGTCAGGGGTGTTTAACCTACAGACAGTAAGGAAATAAAGGGAGCAGGGCTGTAGTGATCTGAGCTAAGTAAAATTGTTTCCTCCCACAAAGGCGTTCTTGTAATGGTTTGCTTGCAAGGACGTAAGAAATGGAGGTATATTAACTGAATGATGATATTTAACACGATGTCTGTTTAAGCAGATGGTCAATCAGCATTCATACATATACATTGACAGCCATGTGTAGAATCCTTAGATAAAACTTTTTTAAAGTGTATGCAGTGTTTTTGTTGTACCTTTCTTTAACATTGCTTATAGTATTCCTCTGTTTCCCTCCAGACTGTCCAACTTGGTGTCCTCACCTTAGAAGACCCATGATATTCAGATACCATCTTTTGTTTTTAGAACCACTGTTCCTGAGATATACAGCAGAATGTAATTGAGGCTTCAGTTACTGCCTAAAGTTCTTCAAGAATGTTTTCAAGGACAGAAGGTACCAGCGCAAAAGTTGTTCCAACAAAGTATGATTTAGATGTGCCTGAAATCCATCCTTTAACTTACTAGTTGGGTTAATTGTTACTTGACCTTTTGTGTCATCAAAAACTATTTTCCAGCTTAATGAAAAGGTAAAAAATTGTGAAATTTTACTGTACATTCTGTGCATGGAATCGGTTTAATCTTAGGACATGATCTATCAATGATGTTTCTGAATTTGTGTAAAAGGTACACCCTCCCACAAAGGCGAGCTTGTATTGCGTGCTTGCAAGTTCGTAAGACCTGGAGGTAAAGTAACCCGAATGATGTTTTTTGTTACTTTCTGTCCAGTCAGATTGTCCTGTCATCATTCATACAAACAAAATCCTGTATTAGGTGTAATTTGCAAAAACCTTTAAAGCTTATTTTAATAAAGTTAAAATCTTGTGCTTTAATAAGTATTTCCATTTTAGGACAGCTCTTGGAAGTTAACGGAGATTATCATGAAGACCTACATGGAGCTCTGAAAATGTGTATGTGTAAAAAAAAAAAAAGAGTACTAACAAATGCAAAGAACGACTCCCCTACACTAAAAGAATTGTACTAACGGAGACGTGCACATTGAAGTTGTTCATCCATATATCTCCAGTGATAAATACTTGAATTAGAAGTAACACATCTAAACAACGTCTAGTATTGTCTGCCTCTGTTTCTGTGTTATGAACTATGTAGAATTTCTTGGTGACCAATAAAAGGATCACAGACTATAGAATGCAAGCAGTAGTAAATTACAGTGCTTTTTTTGTACCTGAAGTCAACATTTAAATGACCATGTAGATGAGTCTGACATTGTACATTTCATATCCTGCATTGGTAAAGGCTTTTGTAGTTGTGTTGCTGCAGTTCTGTTTTTCTGCTGTTGTATCCTTTTCTGTTTTTAAATGTTTAATCTTCCTGATTTATGGAGTTTTGAAACTACTTAATTTTAATTTCATGATGTAGTTTGTAAAATATTTACATAACTTAAAAGGCAATACAGTGAAATTGGTGCCTGAGAGTTCACTGTATCCATAATTATATCTTACTGGTTGTTTTCGTTTTTGAGCATTTTCTTCATTGTGAAGTATTTAAATATTGCATGAACATAGTTATACTATAATCACCACAATTTTAAAATGTTATAGTTTCATCTGAGTACAGTAAGTTGCTACATGATTAAAGATTTTGCACAATTGTTTATGCTGTTTCTGCAACCGATAAAGGACAGTTTTGAACATATTTCTGAAGCTTGTGTTTTATTTTCTTGTACCTAATGGTACAGAATCTTGTGTACAGTCTTCTTCAAAACACAATAAAAGGCTACAGCTGCTTCTAAAATCAGTCCAGAGATGTGGTCCAAACACAAACATGAAGTTGTTACAGAATTTACACTTTATGACTTCAGAGGTGCTTATTAAAGCCACAGACAGTTGGGATATAATTTGGGGGAAAAATAACTTTTGTATAGTACCTTAAAAATCAAATATGTGGGATGTGAAGTTGTGTGATTAATGTTGTATGCAGTATGTCTAAAAATGTAAACTATTGTGTAGATAGCCTGATTTATTCAACTCCAGCATTTCTGTGAATGCCAAC